AAAAATCTAAATTTTTGTAAATGGGAAAAATTTGGAAGATGGGATATTCTTTTTAAGAATGTAAAATGAAGAAATAAATTATTATATTTAGTGTTGGTGGATCGATCTTATGATGCTGGATGTGAAGGTATTTAAATTGGAAATTGGATCAAATTAATGATTTCAATGAAAAAAGAGGCAACCTATATAAGGGGAGGAAAACTATAGTAAAAAAATTTGAAAATGAAATATTGTATATATAATTGGGGGTAAAAAAGCTTATAATATAATTTAAAATATCCAAAGTACATATCAATTCTAGTGGTGGTGGATAATATGATAATGGAGGTAATAGCAATAAAATTGGAAAATGGATAGAATTATTTGAATTTTTTGATTACTATATTCTGTAAATAGATATGTATAGTAATGAATTGAAGATAAAGTAAAATATGAGGAATTTTATAAATTTCTAGTGGTGGCGGATTATACAATAATGAAGGTGATGGCAATAAAATAAGGAAGTGGATGGAGTTGTCTGATTATTTTACTAGGTTTTAGAATATTTTAATAATCAGTGAGTAGGCTAAGGATATATATATTGATACCATTGATTTCAAAAAAATATTTGATTATTGCAAATTAATATCATTAGCAATTTGTTTTAGTTGTAATTTGTATATAAATGATTTGTTAGAGTTTTATTAGAAATCAATAGATCTCTTAAGATCCATTGTTTGATCTAAAATATTCTTATGATGATTGAGTCTTTCTTGATTTTCTTTAGCATTAATTTTTTGTTAGGAAGTCTTCAATTGTTAGATTTTCTCCTTTGATGGCACGTTAGATTTAACTTTAAGTATATCCACTAAATTTTTTCCACAAAAGAATTTGATCTATGGTATTTCTGATGACATAGCTAAGTTTTAGCTTTGCCTAATTTAATTTTCATTCAGCTACATATTAATGGCTGTTCCTAGATTCATTTCCTTGCTTAACACCATATTTCAAGATCTTTAAGAATTTTGCTTTTACTAATTATTTTCAACATTTAGTTTGATTTGATTTCATTAATTTATATTCAATA